TCTGCTAAGGCAGGCACCACTCAGGTAGTAATGGCTTAGTTCAAAACTCTTTCTTTCCTACAGGCCAAAACTTTGAAGAAGCCAAAAGTTTTTGCAGTTTTGAAAGGATCATCATAGCTCAAAATTCAAGGCAATAGGGGGAGTGAGATGGCAGTACGGACTGGATATAAATCACAAAAAAAATAGGATCAGAAAGAACAAGAAGATTATGAGATATAGAAAAATGTCAAAACTAATAAGAGGAGATTTCATCTACCCAGACACACAGGAACAGGGACACAATGAGAGAAATAAATCAAGGAACAGTCATGTACTATATCCTCAGTGTATTAAAAGGTGGCAAGAAAGACGAACATTCTGACTTTCAACGGTGCAGCTGTTAGGAGACAGAGGTGAAGGACTCACTAATGACCATAATCCAGTTGGATTCATTACTGCAGACTGCACCCACAAGAGGAATAAAAAACCCCAAGGACTTTGAATATAGAAGAATGGGGAAGTGCTGGAGGCAATCCAGTGGGTTAAGTGTCTAATGGAAGGAGTGGGAGGAAGGAAGGACGCAGAGGAAATGGAAACTGTTCAGAAAGCAATTACAGCATATCCAAGGGTGATGCATTTTATCCAACAGTATGTACACTAGGAGGAGAAAAAGACCATAGGAAATAAAAACAGAATTGAAAAATATATTAAGAGATAAATAAAAGGGATACATAAGCAGTGTAAAATTTCAGGTGCAGAGGGAGAACAGAAAATATATACAATTAATTTAAGATACGTGAATGCAAATATACAAAGAGTGCAAGCAGATAATGAAATTAAATTAGAAATAGGCTAATATGAGAGTATATCCCTAGCAGATGCAACAAAAACTCTGCAAAGAAAGCAGCAGGTTTTCAGGGTGAAACCAAAGCAGCATGATACTATGTGCTGATTCAAGCCCCATTCCTCACGGCTGATTTTACTGTTACTGAAAGAAAAGCAATTGGCAACACTTGTTTTTAGACAAAGTTTTCTCCATTTGCAACACACTGGGAGAAAGACAATCCTGCTATCTCCATCTCACAGCCACCAATCCCAGAGCATCCCAGGTGAATGAAATGTAACGACATATTATCCTTAGCAGACACTGCAAGATGCTTGAGCAGTTGCCTCTTTCACTACCATTTCACCTTCATTTTGCCCAAGCTGGAAATTAGAAAATAGAGGAAGCACTGAGTTTGAAGAGATATTTGCAGTTTAGACAGGACACATTTGTACTTTCAGGCCAGTTCAGGCAGTCAGATGGAAAACACATCTTGGTATAATTTTGGGTGTAATTTTTGGATAGTTAGTTTGCCTGGGCCAAAAACATCCCAAGAAGCATCCTGAAAAATTATAAATATCTAGTTAAGCTGCTGTGCCAGAGAGTGTTCCTCAATATTACTTGAGACTGTTGCCATGTGCCCTTGTGAAGAACTTCCTTCTAAGCACTCTTCTCTTTCTGTCTTTTCACTAACAACTGAGGAAATCTATGGAGATCTTCCTCCCCAAGCCACTCATTGGCCTTTTCCCTTCTCCATCCCTCAGCTAAAAACATAAGCTCATAATACCAAAATAAGACAAGGCAAGATGGTTCAGGTCAGAGGACTTGTAATATCTTGGACATTCCTAGAGCCAGCCCTTCCTATGTGTTTCCTCCGTGGCAACATATTTCTGTCAGAAAGCTACAGCTGAAATTTAAAACACAATAGGAAGAAGCATCAAAACAATAGACAATTAGCCAGCAAAATCACACTACCTCTAATATTAATCAGTTAAGTCCACAACAGAAAATCTTTTGTGAAGAGCAGAAGGCTACATCTCCTAATTTACTCCTGCTAATAATGCCAAGGTTGTGGGTTTGAACCCTGTTTGGGCCATTCACTTTAGAGTTGGACTCGATGATCCTTGTGAGTCCCTTCCAACTCAGAATATTCTGTGATTCTGTGTATTTGAACCAGAGTAATAAACTGCTTAGGACAGCATTGTTACTTTAATCACTTCTGTCTACATGTCTTGTTTTGTGAGCAAATTTTCTCCAATTTTGTTCATTCAAGAGTCTGTATGCTTCTGGAAAGCAAAATGCAACATAGGCAAAGCCAAAAGCAACAGTGTTAAATGACAAGTGGCAATAGGAGCAATGTTGTACAGTTTGAGAAACTGTTCCACTCAATCAAATGTTGCATTTGGAAACAACAGATAGGAGGGCAGGTACTTTCTTATCACCATTTGTAGCGGAAGTACAACTGCAGCTCCAGTCTGTTTGAGATGGCGCAGCACACAGTGGGATACAGAAAAATAATAGTCAGAGATGCTGCTTAAAGCCACAAGAGAAAGCACGGATTGGCTTAACAAAGACACAAAAAGCCCTTGATATTCATGAGATTCAGTAAGCGCTGATAAATAGCTTCTTCTGATACTTAACCCTTTATAACTTATGGTTGTTTTTATTCTTGCTGTAGTATATGCTCTCACTCTTGTGTGGAACAGAGCTAGTGGAAGCATTCACTGGGAAAAAAGGTGAGGACCACATACACCAGATATTATAATGTACCACTTCCCCTGTAAAGCATAGTGCAATTAATTTCCTCATGACAGCTTCTGAACCAAGAAAATGTGTAAAATAGATATAGAATATTCAGAGGTTTTTATTAGCTTTGTTTAGTATTTTTCACTCTAGTCAAAGTTGCAACAACAGATTTCCTGTTCTCAGACATCTCTGACTTTACTCCGTTCTTTCCGAAAAATAAGCATTTATCTCCTACTGGAGTTTTCTTTAAGACAAAACAAAATCTGAAAACAACACAAATTTCTTAATATTAAATTGCAATGTTAAGCAGAAATACAAACTTGAACTTTATTGATAGTTATACTAAATTACTTTATTTATTTGCTTATATATAAAACATGTTCACTGCAGTTTAACACATCAGGACTATCTAATGTATAAAGAATATATTGCTCTTTATACAACTTCCACATGAATATACAGACATAATAGCATAACTCTATTAATCTCACTTAATTGGCATAAAATACACTCGACTATAGATATCTCTGTCCCTTCTGATGTGAGTCTATAAACCAGTGTCTATTTGTACTGTCCTTTATAATTCAGGAGCACACATACTGTATATAAATGTGCCTTGACTTTGCTTTTCTTTCAAGTACTGCATGAGTGAGAATCTTCAATAACAGAAGTAAAGCACTTAAAGCTATCTGCTCCCCTCTGCGCCTTTCAGCAATAAATAATACCCCAATCCTGAAGGTTAGGCTAAACCCTTGCTCTTGCAAGGAAACCTTCTGATTTCAATTGTGTTCCACATAGATCAAGCTAAAAGATAAAGGTTTAAATCACTAATTGCAATAGTTTGGTTTTGGGGTTTTTTTTGTGCATGACTCTGTTTTTTCCTACAAAATATTCTGAATTTCAGAACATGGAAAACCAGGACATTTGGCATAAACTTTTCATTTGAGGTTTTTTTAAACATCTGAACATACATTTTATGTCTTCTGAACAACGGTAAAGGCATTTGAAAAAAAATACTTTGCTGAAACTGTAATTAAAAAAAAAACTCTTTCCTAAAAGCTTTTTTAGGTGAGCTAAATTATACTGGACATATATAAATAAAAAAGAGCAAAGAAGAACATGAACATATATTACTAGTGTAATTCATCAAAAATAGTTGACACTTCAATCTAACCCAGAAATGAAAACACAGAACTTTATAGAGTTATAGGAAGTAAGCAATTTAAACATACCATGGCACAAGGTCATCTAACAATGAAGCTGGGAAGATATTCTCTTTCTATTCGCTTTCCTTCACTCCTTTAATCCTTCTGAATCTATCAAGTACAGATTAATATAAATCTTTTTAACAGCCAGAGGTGATCTTCAATCAGATAATTAATAGTAGTGGTCCAAGTTTTCTATAACAGGTCCATCTTTCCATTTTAATATAAAATGAAAGGGTACTTTATCTAACTAAGCTATCACTCTGGGAAAGGTTTCTTTTTCCATAATAAAGTAATGTATGCCTTAACTAATTAGCTCATTATTTTAAAATGTAATTTTTTTGTAAAACTCACTGAGATACTTCATCATGCTTAAAAGGCTACTGATGTGGAAAAAAACAATTCTCAGAATATACTCACTGCTGCTCATTCAAAACACTCACTTGCCGAATCACTCCCCACATAGTCTGAGCTAAATATATGAGGCAGAGGAAATGCACTCCATTTGCTTTGAAAGTAAACCTCCAAGGCCATTTCATAAGCAGAAATCATATCCAAGTCATAGAGATACTGTAGTTAAGTTTATGATTCCAATTTGGCTTGGAAAGCCTTCCATACTCTAGAAAAAAATACTTCACTAATCTATATGTAAATACTTCAGTAAAACCACTGAACAGTGATCAAGGTCAGTATTAATATCACAAATTAAAGATGTCATCTGAAAACATACCGTCTAGAAGAATGATCAGAGCTCACGCTGAAGAATAATCCATGTTTTCAGCAGCCTATAAACACCATGGAAAAAACTGCAGTATTGTATTCATTAAGTCTCAGTGTTATATACGAAAAACAGTAAATAATGAAATACAGCCAGTGATATGGTGGCAGCCGGATGGGTAGCAGACAACCACATGGAAATGTCAGCCTGAAGAAACTCATGGTAGGACTAGCAGATCTATGTTGTACAGTTCAACTTGGGAATTAAATATACTTTCTGGGCTTGCATTTCTATTATACACTGTTAAATAAGAAAAAAACAACCCAACAACCCAAACAACTCCTCAATTTCTAATTATTTTGTTGTCTTAGTGAAAACGTGTTTATTTAAGTAGATGCAACCGCACATTTATTTGCCCCAAGGGAGAGTGAGAGGAATTAACCAAATACCTTTTTGAAGTCCTGTCAAGGGGCAATGATAGTTGTATTGGAGGAAGGCACAAGCATCTCATACTTCCCAATGTGTTTAGTGTTTTTGTAGCTCCTAGACACATGGACTGTCACCTGTTTACACCACTGTCCACCTCCATGTGGGCCAGCAGTGCTCTGCCCCAGGACTCAGTTTTCACACAGCAGCATGGAGACAAGCCAGCTGGAATGGGCAAGTCCGTGGTAAGATCTCATTATTGTTCTTGCTTCTGCTTCTCTCCCTTGGCTTCACTGTCTTATTTTGAGCCTTCTGGATCTGTGACACAGATTGAGACAGTATAATTTTTCAAAACAGTAACTCAATTAACATATAAGTTAGCTACAAGACGTATGGGGCAGGAATCAGGTCCAGACCATAGATACCTAAATGCAGGGGACTACCTATGTGCTAGATACACAAGATCTCACTTCAGACAACAGAGGTTAATTTGGTGCCCACACATAGCTGCTCAGTTTCATTTGAGATGGATGCCCTAAGGTCTCAAAGATATCAGCCAAAGGTTAGATGTAATACAGAACTTACAGGAGATCCTCAGTTGCAACTGGTATTAAGATGGCAACAGGCACTAGAGTAGTACCCTACAGTCTCTCACATGACACTACAGGTCCATAGCAATGTCATATTTCCCTGCTATTCAAGAACCTTGTCACTGTACAACCTATTATCTAAACTCTATTACAGAAATAGTATAAACACAAAAAGAAATGGTTAATCCATCCACAATTCCTCATTGTTGGACCTGCATAAAGAGGAGAAAGCAACAGAATTCAATAAGTGTACTGTTGAACAAGGCAGTTTTCACGCAGAGACTCAGAGACTCAGAAGGGAAAGGAGGGTGCTACATTCTTCAGTGCAAGATAATTCTAAAATGGTTTTAAATTGCAAGGTGCTAAGAGACAGGGACACTTTCCCTAAGAGATGAGCTGCCATGTCTCTCACTGCTATGTCAGCATAGAGATAGGCACATAGGGAAGAGCTCTGGGTAGCTCTACCATTTGAATGGTCATGAGATCTCAATGTGCAGTAGGCACCAGAGAGAAGACAGGACATCTCTGCAGCAACAATGAAGAACCAAAACTTAATAGACAAAAGTAAGTGATGAAAAAAATGTCTAGACATTAGATTGCTGGATTCCAAAAACTGGATATGAGAAAAACTGCTAAGTTTAAACAAAGCCTTGGGCTGACAGAGACTGGGGAAAAACCTCAATCTAAAGTCCAGACAAGGATCCATTGATGTCACAGGTTTGGAATGTCCTACCCAAGCCTGGAGAAACCATGCCCTGATCTCATCAAACCTCTGCATAAAACCCATTGCGTTCCCCCCTTGCACGTGTATACTCTGTAACCCTTTGCATATGTATATCCAATACCTAATCCACCCTGTAAGTCCCCTAAGATAAAATGAGTTTTTCCCATGAGGTAATTCCTAAGACCCCAAGATTTGTCAAACCAGGTTTTTCCCTTACCTCATCTCTGAAAAGTCCTCAATTGTAATACCATGAATATGTAAACCCCCTGTTGAATATGTAAACCATGAACCCTTTAAATATGAAGTTGTGAGCTCAATAAAGGATTCCAGTTTCTTGCCCCCAAGCTGGGATTGCATTAGATATCTGCTTATTTTTGTACGGCCCATGAGAGAACTGAACTGGAGGAAGAGAATGTCATCAGAGCCTTCTGATCCATTTCAAAAAAGTTATTCTGTATGCCGTGAATGACATCGGATTTGGCATGCAGTTAGGCTGAGAAGAAAGTAGGAAAATGGGTACTGCAAACAGCAAAGCCAGAGAAGGCCTCCAAGAAAAGGAAAGGAAATCTAAACTTGATGTCAAAGTCTAGTGTCAGATATCATGATAATTAAGCAAACCCTAAGAGACTGGAGATCCGCAGGAACCAATTTGCCTTGCTTGGATACTGTCAGTGTAGGTCATGCCCTTTGGAGCAGGACCAATCAGCTGAAACCTCTGCTCACTCCCCATTTCCCATGTGGCAAAGGAAAGGTAACAAAACACAGCTTAGAAGGTAAAATAGTTTACACCCACAAATACAAGGCGACTGGAAGACTCATGTAGTCATCCTGTGATGTGGGAGAAGAGGTCTCTGTCCTCCCATAATTTGTATCTGATAACCGAAACCAGAGAGATGGCAGCCAGGAAGCAGACTAAAAATACTTATCACAAACTACAAATTCTATTTGCAATTATATTTTAACTGCTTTCAAATTACTTCAGTCTTTTCCAACTGGAATTCACCCAAACAATAGATTACAGTACAAAATATTTTATAGATGTCATCTAGAATTGGAAATTGTGGCACCAACTCATGGCCAGTGTGCAAGGCATGTGCAATGGGGATGACAATTTGTCTTCATGAAAGCCATTTGACCTCAATATGTTACAACAGTCTATGAAACTGCGAGTTTGTAATACTTTACATAATTGCCCAGATTTGCCTATGATTCCATATCTTCATTTTGAACTCACTATTTTATAGCAGCACAAAAGGAGCTTAACTTGTCAAGTGGCTGGTAAAGCTGAAAATGAAATATCATAAGAAAATATGTCAGGGGTAGACCTTTCTGACCCAAACTTCTGTTTTGCCAGCAGAACAATTTGTCTCATCAGTCACTGTATGGGCTACATCAATCATACAGCTGATGTTTTTTCTGGACTTGCATCAAACAATCTCAGCACATCGACCAAGACATTCTTAAATCTCTGTCCTTTCATGCTAAATCCAAAAGTTCCCTTTTCATGTGTACTCAACAAATAGACATTCATAACCTTAGAACATACAAATATGATGGATTTTATTTTGAAGGACCTAGAATAATTAAATGCAACCAACTTGTTTCTGAAAGGTTTCCTTCAGCTGTGCTTCAAGGATATGACATATTTGCTATTTTTTCCTCAGTTTTTGATTTCTTTTACTTTGTCAGGGAAAGCAATGATGTTATATATCACATAAAATGTGATGTAGTATGGAGTGATGAGTGACAAAATCCAGCAAAGAGTTCAAATAAAAGTTTTTCATATCTTAATCCATACAGGATTTTGCCAATAACATAAAAAAAAATAAGACTTTGCAGATACCATTAACCAGCATTTGACTGTCTAAAAGAATAGAAAAAACAATTTCTTAGCTCACAAAAGCATGAGCAGTCAACAAAAAAAACTCATCATCATTAGGAATGCAAATTCAGGATAAATTTATCCAATTATCTTACTGAAAAAAATCTGTGAAAGTTGAAGTCTGGAAGTGAAAGACCCCAAATCCGTTGTTCATTTTTTAATTTCATTTTATTTCACCTTATGCATCTGTGTAATTCTGTGGCTTCTGTATCACTGTATCCAACAACCTCTGAAATACTTAAATTATTTTCTTTTATTTCCCAGCCTGTAGAAATAGCTTGACTGTTATATGCACCTACGCATAAGAAAGATTGTAACAGAAACATTATGCAAAGGACTTCTTTTTAAATGTTCTCTTCCAAATGTGGTAATCTCCATGCTTAGTCTCAGGGAAGAATGGCAAGCACAGGCTGCTAGTAACTAGCCTTGGCAGCCCCAGGCAAGCATGGCTAGGAAGCACCTGGCAGTATGAGGCACAGCAGGCAGGAGGTTAGCTAACACAAACACCACCATGGTGGCTCATTCTGAATCAGTGCTCCCCAGTAATCCCAAATAATTTCAAATTGTGAGTGCAAATGATTGTGGAAGAAGGAGCAATTAACACACACACACACACACACACACACACACACACACACACACACCCCAGAAGGAAAAAGGCTACAAGTTGTTATGGTTGTTCTTTAGGAATTAATTATGGCTTTTCTGTTTTTTCTCATCTCCCTCAAATAGCAATATTTATTTATTGTGTCATTTGATTCGTGTTTGTGCTTGTCAAGTCCAGGCAGATGCCTAAGCTAGTAAAAACCCTGAATAACAAGTAGAATATATGCAATATCAGTTTCTAAGAGCTAGACACCCGTCCTTCAGAATAATTGCTCTACTTGAGATCTCACTTTGATGTGCTGTAATAGCTGAATAAACAAAACTAACTAGATTAAAATTTGATCATGCAGACATCACTACACCATGATTACATTCTTTAGTGAGGGAAGGATTAAAGAAAAATATGAAAACTTACCAGATACGAAACCCCAATGTCCATACTAAGTAAACACTATCTGTAAATACAAAATGTAAATACTTCTATAAAACAGCAAAAAGATCCATCTAATCATTGGTATATAGCTGCCTCTGTAAATCCCGTGTAAGTTAAGATCATAAAATCAATTAAATTCTATTACTGCTAATATCCCAATTCCTGTAGTTATTTCTGATATTCCGATTTCTGTCAGCCACATTGAAATTCAAGGACATATAGATGGCCCCCACACTTAGTACTTGTCGTTGAATGGTGGCATTTGAAGCCAGGTCTTCTTTGTCACTGGAAGATGGAAAAGCCTATGGAGACCAAAGATAAAGAGATACTGCTAAGAAGATAGAGCCTCTGGATAACGGAATGAGGGGAGAAAAGCAGTGTTAGGATTATGCAGATAATAGATCTCAGCCAGATGTTCACTGACTTTTTCTGCCATTTAAAAGCAGTGAAGCTTGCCTAAGTGGGACATTTTCAATAGTACTACTACACCTTGGGGATTCTGAATAAAATTGCTGCTTGCTAATGTTGTGTACTTGATTTTTTCCCCCTAAGAATGACAAATTTAGTAGTTACTCATTTTTATTTCTAGCCTGAATTTCATATTTTGTTAGGTTTCTTACAGCTACTTTCCATCTACTACAGCAGTCTACATGTGCAATGAACTCTCCCTTACCAGGAGGAGAATGATATATCTACCCTAGTTTTCTGTTTTGCTGGGATTCAGAGATGATATCATGACTAGAATCATGCAGTTACCCTGATGGGAAGTACTGAGCTCAAAATTGTAATCAAGGTTCATAGAAAAAAAACTTTAGTGCAATGTTCACAGAACCATACATAGGAAACAAAGCAGAAATGATGCTTTTGAAAGAACAGACTGTCTTCTACACTGTGTCAACACTTACCAGTTGATACCTGCTGCGACACACCACATCTTGGGTTTTTTTGACCATCTAGACTGATAAAATGTCTTTCTTTGTGTGGAAGCTAGGGCTTCCTGGGAGCTTGAAGGCCTCCCTAGAAGTTTTGTTAGACTTTCATTTCCTTTGTTGTATAGTCAGATTCACCGTATTTTGTTCCACCAGTATTTGGAAGTGTCCTACTTCCACTCATCCAAAGCATTAACTTTCTTCTGTCAAAGCAGCATTCATATTTCCTCCAGAATCAAAGATGCTGCCTTTAGTTATCTGCAACCTCTTGGAATTCATCAGATGCCAGTGAGTCTATTGTACCTGCTACTCAGCACTGGTGAGGACACATCTGGAGCGTTGAGATTCCCAGTGGAAGATATGGATTTGCTGGAGTAAGTCCAGCGTAAGGCCACAAATAAGATTAAGGGTTATTAAGGGACAGGAGCATCTTTCATATGAGGATGTGTTTGCAGAGGTAGAACTGTTCAGCTTAGAGAATGGATGGATCAGAGGGGTGTTTTCAGTGTATGTATATAAATACCTAATGGGTGGAAATGAAGATGAGAGAGACAGATTCTTCTCAATAGTGACTAAGACAAGAGGCAATGGCACAAGGTGAAACACATGAAATTACATATGAACACAAGACAACACTTTTTTGTACTGTGAGGACGATTAAACATCCAAACAGGTGGCCAAGAGAAATTGTGAGGTCTCCCTATGAGGAGATATTTACACTGTGGCTAGACATAGACCTGGGCAACTTGCTGTAGCTGCCCCTACCCTGAGCAGGTGGTTGAACTCCAGAAGTCCCTTCCTACCCAAATAATTCTGTAACTCAGTGAATCAGTCAAGATCCTTGTGTTACAGACTGAGAGGAGAGCAGTCATTGAATTAAATTAAAAGTTTTACAAACATAGGGGAAAAGTTTATCTGAAATTCTATATTGTCAATTTTTTTACATACGGGAAATTGCAACTGACATTAGGAGAAACATAAATTTTGTTTCATATAAACATAAAGGTCTCTGTATCACAGATAAAACCAGCTAAACTGAGTCCCATTTTCTTATGTGGGCAACATCTTTTTTGCCAGATATCCTAAATCCTTTTTAAAAAATTGGCTATTATCAAATAGAAGCAATTTATCTCTTTCATAACATTAGGCAAATAATCCATCCAGAATTAACATGCAGATTCTGTCCCCAAGAATATTTTGTAGGAAATTATTTTAAAATAAGATTCAAATCTTTATAATTAAGAAGGGCAAATATATTAATAAGGATAAAGAGATACATTTCTAATCTCCAAGTTATGCAAATTACTCTGTGATTTTTGTCATTTATTTCAGAAACAGCAGAACAATGGAGTTTCTTCACATGCATGACAATCCTTCTCATTTATGTTCTTGACACATTGCAACTAGATATTTATTCTTACACAGCAAACTTTAATGGTATTGAGACTGTGTGTATTTTTTATTTAAATACATTCACACTTTTAAAACCACAATATTTATAAATATTTTTCTTTACAAATAGCCTTTATACACCTCTCAGACCTCAGCCTATTATTGCTTGAAATATTTGCTAGGTGCATAATTACAGGTGACTAAGGGGATGACTTTGCTTCAGACAAAATTTCATGTTTCCCTTTTGCCTTTGCTTTTATTTCTCTACATGCCAAATACCAAATAGGTTTGAGCCCTTTTGTTAACAGACATATCTGTTAAAGAAATACTTTTTACGCCTAGGAGAGATCTATACAAATTCAAACAGTTTGTTATTGCATCTGTTCACTTAGCTAACATAAGGAAGGACCACTTAATAATACCAGAACTATGCAATCATGGCTATTGCACAGTGTGTGTACAACACACTGAGACTGTCCCTCTGCCCAGTTGAGGGATTAGACAGGGTATGCCCTGATAAAACAGTGCAGCAGCTCATAAGCTAGCTCAAAACAAGATGAGGGCAAGTGACTTGCTAGAAAACTAGATAAAACAGAGCAGCTAGCTCATAAGCTAGCTCAAAACAAGATGAGGGCAAGTGACTTGCTAGAAAACTAGATAAAACAGAGCAGCTAGCTCATAAGCTAGCTCAAAACAAGATGAGGGCAAGTGACTTGCTAACACAGCTTCACTGCTTTAAATTAGCAATTCCTTTGGAGTAGATAGGAGAGCTCTATGCGCTCCATTTCCCTGTTTTTTCATTCAGACTATGTTCCAGCACCCCTCATACCTCTTACCTGGTGCTGAGAGGCACATTCTGGAAAATGATTCACAGGTTGAGATAGGAAGAGAAATTTTGCCAGGGAGCTGCAGGTGGTAGAACAAGGAATTCTGTAGGGCTGTGACCAGGGAAACAGAAAAGCAGTGGGGAGGGATAAGTTGTACAAGCAGATGACACAGAAGAAATGCGTGGGTGCTAGGAGTATTTCTGGAGAAACCTTAGAAGTGGAACTGTGACAGTAATGAACCATGGGCTGTTTCTGCATTTTCTTTTCATGCTATCTCCCCAACTTTAACCACTGCCTTCTTAGCACCCTGCTATTCCCTATCATTGACATTCATGTTTCATGTGCCTTCACTATACTGCTTTTACAGGCTCCCCAACATCATGTCCCCCTCAGATGTACTGTTTTTACATATCCAAAACCACACCTATGTAGTGAAACAGTTGACTAATTTGCACTACTATAGGGAAACATGATAGCTTTTCAAATGAAACTGATCTTGTATAAAGATGGAGAGAAATACCGGAAAGCTTCTTCCCATCAGGACTCACAAAATTGTAGGCTACATTCTGTCAGCAGTATCACTTTCCTGTAGTCAGGGTCGAAAACCTTCATTAGAGTCACAGCTAATAGGCAATATGTCTTCACGCTGAAGGAGGACACGATACCATTTCTTAAAAGTATAAGGGGCAAGGGATGGTGGAAAGACAAAGAATCCCAAGTAAAGGAATATTTTCTATTCTTTGTCACAGAACTTCAGTGAAACTAAAGACAGATACTGCCAAAAAAGGTATCACACAAGAAACAATGTGCTCTTAGTAATTTCTTGCGCTTTGGTTTAAACCTCAGATAGTAAATGAAGGAATTTTCAGGTATTTGAACAGAAAAGTAAAGGCAGGTTTGAAATAAAGACACTCTTAATGATACTTTTCTTAATGCTGCTGGTATTAGTGCCAATGTCCAAAGTTAGACTAGCAAACTCAGTAGGTCATTAAGGCATGTACTTTTACATACAGCACACTAAAACTGTATAGTTCAACAAGGGTTCAACTGTATAGATGACAAGGGCAGCGGTTCCTTGTGAAATAGGGTTAATGCAGCGTGTCACGGAAAACACATATGATGACATTTTCCTTTGTCACATACTCATTCACCTGAAAGCCCTTCAGGGTGGAATCTGTGACTGTTCTGTATACGGATGAGATCACAAGGCCCCAGTTCTATAAAAAGTTCACATAAATAACTGTAATGATGTGAATGGGCCTATAGGAATATATGGGCATTTTTCATATGCAAAATCCCCATAATCTTATAAGTAAATAAATACTTGATGTACAAATAATGTGACTATGTACTTCTATCAAATTATGAGAAGCATTTGACAAACAGATCTGAAAGCTCAGCTTTCCTTTTTTTTTTCCCCACAGGTTTTCTGGAGAACAGAGGAGTTATTTACATAAAGCACATTCTTCTAGTCAGCAATTTCCAATAAAACCATGAAAACTATACTTTCAGGTATAACCACTTACCTAGACTGCCATCAGACCTTAGCTAACTAGATGACAGAACCTACAAAAGCCACTCAGATCTCTGGTTGGCTTGCTTCTCAGCTCTCTTTTGCAGATCTCTTTGGGTCCAAGCAGTTAACAACTTTTAGAACGTAAGCAGAGCTGCTGAATAACTTGCTGTCAGTGGAAACCAGGAGATTTTCTATGTATCTGAGAGAAAAAAGATTTTCAGTTGCTGAACAGGAATTTACAGGAGACACAGAAACTGCAGCACTATTCATAGAACCATTAGACAATATGTAATACCCTCTGCAAACTTACCAAACACTTATATTGAAAAGTCAGTAAATTAAAAAAAATCAAGTATTTGTTACTTAAATTTTTGTACTGAGATATTTTGAGACATCTTTCAGAAAAATATATAAAAATTAAGTAAATTTGAAATTATACCCTTTAATTTTTTAATTTATTTTTTTTCCAGAAGAATTTAAACTTGGAGGAATTTTACCTCAGGGGAATTAAGCCTCAGAGTGAAAAAGAAAGAAAGAAAAAAGAAATCTATCAATTGTGCAGATGCATTGGGTTCACATAGTACATCATACAAGACATCAGTGTTTGTGGACTTACTTTACTCATCTTCTCCAAATCCTCATTGATCTTATGCCATTGTCTCAGAAAGTCAATAGGCTATTACTAGTCAGAACAAATAGCAATTGCACCTAAATACAATTAATCTTGTGAGTGTCTTAAAATGCCTTGGGAAAAATGGCTAAGTTGAATATTAAAAAGGAAGTTGGGTCATCTGAATTGCAATGGCATCATTAATTATTATCAATATCTGATATTAATTCTTATTAATAAAATAATCATACTGCTCTTAAGCAGCTAATCATTTTGTCAATAGTCAAATAAAAGACATTAACCAAGGGGCACATCCTGGCACATTTTTACTTGAGATATTTTCCTCCTTAAATCTGTATTTGTGATATTGCTGATTGTTTAACAAATATACATTCAACTCACTGCCTATTACACTCACTATATACTATTTACTCACTGCATAATTATGAAGAGTAACAAGGAGGTACCATTTTATAGACACTAGATACTTAAGCCTATGGTGCTACTCCAAGGGAAGTATCTTTAAATCTCTTTCAGACAGAGGAATAAGTTATGGATAGTCAGTCAGTGACAGAACTAGAGACCATGTATCATCCTGTGTTGTAGGTGTGGTGGTTCAGTAGTGGTTAACAGGCAAAATCTCACCCAACTGCTCACTCACTCAGCCCCCTCCTCAGCTGGACAGGGGAGGAAATATGATGAAAAAGCTTATGGGTTGAGATGAGATGCTCCCGACCTACTGTCATGGGCAAAACAGACTTGACTTGTGGAAAATAAATTTATTGACAATTGAATAGGATGGTAAGAAAGTAAAACAAAACTAAAACCACCTGCCCTTCTCCCAGCCCTGTCTATTTCCCAGGATCCACAGCACTCCTTCATTCCCAGCTCCTCTCCCTCCTCCCCCATGAATGATGCAGAGGGATGGGGAGTGGGAGTTGGAGCCAGTCCATAAGAACTCCACTGTTTCACTCCTTCCTCCTCACACTTTTCCTATGCCCCACCATGGTCTCCTCCAGGGGCTGCAGGAGAATCTCTGCTTCTGCCCTGGGGCACCTCCTCCTTTCCTCCTTCTCTCACTTTGGTGTCTTCAGGACTGTTTCTTTCACATTTTCTCCTCAGTCCCCACTGCATTTGCAGTGTTTGGCCCTTTTCAAAATATCATTTCCCCAAGATGCTGTGTCCAGCATGGGGCAGCCATAAACACTTCTTGCAGTGGCTGCCCTGCAGCCCCCACTGCCAGCCCCCCACCATGAATACCCAGTACCGAATGACACCAGCATACATGACAAGAACCTCTGCTTAAGTGTAAAGGAGAGAATCAGTCTCCCAACCCCCATTTCCTGCATGATCCATGGTATCTAATAGGACAGATATAAAAACAATGGAAGTGAGACTAAAAATGCAAGGCCTGTCCCAGATAGATTCAGAATCTGCTCCTCAAAATACCCTACTTGTTGGGTCACCTCTTTTTCTTGAGCATCAAACTTTAGGGTAAGGTTGAATTTATCTTCTTTTTTCAACACTTCTAGCTGACTGAGATAGAAACACAGCTTTGGTTCACACAAATTGAAGAGCAGCAGATGCTCCAAACTGATTCCAGAGATCTGGAATCATTTGGCAAGAGTCAGTTTGGAACCATGTAGGGACCACATGTGTTCTATCCTGTGGAGAGCAGCATCCCCTCTAACGCTTTCACAGCTGGTAAGGATGCCTTTGCCTCCCCTGAGAGGTATATTGTAGACCTTTACTTTTCTTCATGTGTATGCTCCCTTCTAGTGTGATGCTTTGCCAGGGCTGGTGCTAGCCTGTTTGTTACTACACTTATTGCAGGAGAAAATTAAGACAGAAAGTTTTTCCTAGTTGTCAAGTTCTGGTGGAAATGGACCCTAGTGTGTCAAAGGTAAGAGCTTCATCTGATGGAGACCACCTTACCACAAAGCTCACTTTGCCATGTTCTCCTGCTGAACCTGAAACACTTTAATACGCAGACTACAGGAAACAGCTTTTCAATCTCTGTGGCTCAGATCCCTCTTCAGGTTCTTCCTCCTTCAACTAATTCTCCACATTTTGAATTTCTCCATTCTACCCCTCACCCAACACCTGATTCTCATCAACTGTTCTACTACTGAACTTTTGTAATTAATTTTACAGTATGAAAAACTGCAGAAACCAGTTCAGAACCAGGAGATTTGAAACAACTGACTATGCTTATTACCTATGGAAATATAAATGCCCAAAGAAGATAAAATTCTCATCATAATAACGAAAAAAATGTGAGAGAATGTAATTTTAAAATTCCAGTACTTATTAGCTAAACAATTCAAGTGGGGAAATAGAAATCTGCATGAAATAATTAGAAATACTAAGTATTCTTGAAGCTCTCAAAATACATTTTAAGTGTGAAAAGTTCATGCATCCCCATACAATATTATTATGAAAAATTGATTTCAATATTAAAATCCTATCAGTGCAATGCATATGTCATTTTTGTTGCTGTAATATAGATTTTTACAATGATCAATTCCCAATTATTAGACTGAAAAGCATCTCAATAGACAGAAATAGAGATGAATACCTCATTGCTATACAACCACCATCAAGTACTTTAGTCATTTTTTTCCTTTCCTTTCAGAGGAGGAAATTAAACCTCTGCTTATAAGATTTAGTAGTCCTTCAAAAAACAAAGCCATTAGAATGAGTGGCACATGATCAAAAAAAGTGTATTCTGAGTGTCAGAGCAGTTAATAAGCTGTTGGACTTTTAAGATATTAAAACAATAAATTTAAGATACAAATTCATGAACAAGAAAAGCTGTGAAGTGTGTAGGCAAGTGCTCTATAGCATTCCATTTATTTGCTTCATGACAGTGAGTCCATGTATATTACAGTTCAAATCAAAATCCATAATGGAGACAGAGGGAAAGAAAGTGAGGGAGCTGGACACCATTTTAGAGGACAGGCTGTAAGAGTGAGCAGATAAAGTAAGGAAAAGAAAAAAACGGAATGAAGGTGTCGGACTTCACCTTCATAATTTTGCTTCTATGTCTCCCCTCATCTTATTGACTTGTATTTAGCTGTTGGGGTAAGGATTAATCTTTGAACTATACATAAAATCCACCAATTAATTTTGTAACTTTTTCTTGCATGTAAAAATCATATAAACAGAACATATTTACATTACAGTCATGTTTACATTATAAAAAAGCAGCTATGTGGTATTGTGTTTTCCTAATTCATTATTATTATAGGGAGTCACAGATTATCATACTGGGAAAGGCACCAATGAAAATATTAAACCAAAAAAAATCCAGAGGAAAATGTCAATTAAAGCTTTAAAAAAAGAGACATTGTTTTCTGGTGGATGAAAAGCTGGACATGAGCTGGCAATGTGCACTCGTAGCCCAGACAGCCAATCATATCGTGGGCTGCATCAAAAGAAGTGTGGTCAAGGGAGGTGATTCTGCCCTGCTACTCTACCCTCATGAAACCCCACCCAGAGTACTGTGTGCAAGTCTGGGGTCCTCAGCAGAGCAAAGACCTGTAGGAGTGGGACCAGAGGAGAACTGTGAAGGACCTCCTATGAAGACAGGCTGAGTGAGTTGGGGTTGTTCAGTCTGGAGAGGACAAGACTCTGGGAAGACCTCATTGCAGCTTTTCAGTACTTGAAAGGGCTTATAAAAAATGCTGAAGAGCAACTTTTTACATGGGAAGGCAGTGATAGGACAAGGGGGAAATGGTTTTAAACCAAAAGAGGAGAGATTTAGTTTAGATGTTACGAGGGAATTCTTTACTCAGAGAGTAGTGAGGCACTGGAACAGGCTGCCCAGAGAAGTTGTGGATGCCCCATCCCTGGAAGTGTTCAAAGCCAGGTTGATGGGACTCTGACCCAGCTGACGTAGTGGGTAGGATCCCTGCCCATGGTTGGTGGGTTGAAACCAGACAATCTTTAAGGTCCCTTCCAACCCAAACCATTTTATGATTTTATGATATGGGTAGTTTGTTGTATCAAAACTTTGAAACTATTGGAACAGTGTTCACGAACCAAACCAGTAAGGTTCTAAAATACAAGTTGCCCAATGATTTTCACAAATGTTTAGACTTCACAGTAAAAGAAATAAGTCTTTGAAGGAATTAAGGAATGTTACTGAGATGAATTTGCAAGTGTTATGCAGAAGATATCCCTAGATGAGGGGAGAATATGAGAGAAAACACAAGGTGCTTGTTTGAAAACTTGTCAAGTAAATAATGAATCTGGGTGTCTCTGAGGGAGGATAGCCAAGGTGATAGAAAAGTCAATAACAAGTTAAATACATTTTCTGAAGAAAAAAAAAAGAGTAGTCAGTTCCAAACTCTTCCTTTTATGCAACTACATCCTTAATGCTAGAGAACCTTCTAGCAACACAGCAGGAGGAAGGCGGAGGAAGATCTGTGTTGACCACGTGAAGTTTACATTGTTTTAAAACTTGGACTAGAAGTAAGATTAATTAATTGGTGACAACCACAGCTCAGCAATGAAGATCACAGTACTCAGCTGCATAACTGCCTCAGAAAAGGACTTCAAATTTTCTTCTTCATCTGAGGGATTACAATTGCAGGCTGTGTGCAGTCTTCACTCTCTAATAAATAAAGCATCAAACAGAACACAATGAAAAATAAATGGGTCAATTGCTGTGTGAGGTCAAACCCCCAGCTTTACCCTTTGACTTGAATAGTATTGCACAGGGTGCAAATTAGGATTAGTATTTGAATAATTCTGTACCAGACAGTCAATTTGTATGATGAAAATAGAACTTGCCTATTCAATACTCTATTTACAATTGCAAATGAGGGACAAGATTGATAAATCATCCAATTTCTGCCAACTTCTACACAAATAAGTTACCTATAGGCCAGAATTAATTTGTTGCAATGACATTGCAAGGTCAGGTGTTCCAAGGAAACATCGAGCGAACCCCTCCACAAAGAGATGATGGCAGAGTCATCTATTTGTCCTCTTTGGGTTTAGAACTGATGTCTTTAGCAACTTTTTTTGACATGAAAAGGTGATAGCAGGCCAGATGAGGAGGTTCTGAACCAGCAATTTTATAGTGACCTGCATACTGAATGGAGAAGAACAGTAGTTGCATTCCCAGCATTACTGCTGGTTCAAAGACTGTGAAAATGGAATTTAGTAAGAAAATTTGCATGTCCGCATAATCTCACATGCCAGGCTGTTGTAGGGAATAGGCGAATATAAAATTCCTATCTGCATTCTTCATAGGTAATTTTAACATACACTTTTCACCTGGGAAGTCTGGCTCAATGAATCACTTGTCTTATCTAGACTCTTCTGCCTTAAAGGTTTGATGAAGAAGTATGAAAAACTACAGAATCTCTCTGTGTGAAGAGGAAAAGCAAAACAAAGTAAGTTAAAGAAGAAAGAAGCTCTTCCTCAGCTACTGCCAAGTATAAAATTAGTTTCTGTTCATTTGAAGACTCACTTTGTATTAACTTTTCGTCTAACATTACAGGAAACAGAACTTGCCTGAGGCTTTATCCTTTAAAGACTGTTTCTGAGATGTTTTGCCTGTAATTGTTGGTTGCTATGAGGTCGCCTTGCTCTTGGATCACAGTTTGTGAAGAGAGAAATCTGAACAAACATATTATTTTTAAAACCATGATGATACATGATAGCAAAATGTCATTCATGTCCCATTTCTGTGTAGTGATCTTTTCTCTGCATTCGTGAGATATATATATAATGGTATGCTTAAAGGCAAAAATATGTATTTGAAAGAAAAAGACCTTGTTCAACAGTTTAAAATGCAAAACAAATCTTATTTACCAGAAAAAGAAATCCATATCAATCACTATGATTCTTCTGTCTTCCAGATTGTGATGGAAAAATGAAGCAATTAAAACAAAAGCAGGAAGGTTTTTTTAAGCCTGCTTGTAGCACTGAGACTGAAGGACACTAGAATGGTAAGACTTAACAATTAATCCTGATTCTGTTCCTTATTGGACACACTAGCAAGTCAGTGAGGATCTGTACACACAACTCCTAACTGAATTTATGACTAGGTAATGAAGTTGTTGACCCTGAATGCAGCTGTTTCTAAACAGTGCAGAGGAATAACTGTTAGTACCCATGAATAGTAATTTTAGAAATGTATATTTCACACTATGAAAAAACCCCAAAGAAGTATGAGATTTACTTTGCACCTGTCACAAACTTAAACTTGGAATGAAGCAATATCAAAATAAGCTCTGTTTCCCTCTCTATTCAACAGAGAAAAGTGTGGCCTTCAAAACACCTCTAAAGGGAAATTTCAGGCACCTAATTTTGGTGTCTAAAACTAAGTACAGAGACTCTTATCCTTCTTTTTAGTGACTTTTTTTTTCCTTTCTGCTATTTGTATGAGAAAGAAAGCCTTCTGTCATTAAATCTCTGGGGATTCTGCTGGGAGTATAAATCCCTGGGAAGGGGTTGAGTTCCCATCCCTGGAGGTCTTTCTTTAAAAGACATATAGATGCTTAGGGACATGGTTTACTGGTGGACTTGGCAGTACTGAGTTAATGGTGAGACTTGATCTTAAAGATCTTTTACAATTTAAACAATTCTACGATTCTATGACTACATTATAGTATTGAAGGTCAGACCTTGTAACTCATTTGTATAGTTTGAGATGAAAGAAGAGGAAGGTCAGCTTGCTTGCTTTCCTTTTCTGCAGGAGGGCATCCCAAGGCAAACCCACCCATATGCAACTTACCATCGTTCTAGGAAAATTTTCTCCAGAAACACATTCTGTGGTCAGCACCTATGAAACTGCATGAAAGAATATTAATACCAACATAAGCAAATAGTTGTAGCTGCAAATACAGTCTCAAATCTTCATCTTCTTCCCACTGGAACAACCAACCAACTAACCAAATGTGCAGGTACCAGACAGGACATGTCATTTTTGGGGCTTCAAACCACAGCAAACTCACAGCTGTGTTGCTGTTTCTTTAGGCAATTAGGGAACAACAGTCATTAGTTTGTAAGTAGTGCCGGAGTTTCCTCACTTAGAAGATGGGTATAATATTATATTCTCTAACCTGACATAACTGATGAAATATTTAGCTATGGTTTAGCTATCTTGTACAATTAAGACCAATAGCTGAAAATAATTCCTTTATGACAGCTGTTCGGACAGTGAAGATTATGAAATATATGATTTGTTGCTATAAAAGCAGACCTCTATGAGTAGAAAAAAATAACTCTAAGTCTTGTATTTTTTGCATCTTAAATAAGGTATCTGGGAAAGCACATTTGAAAAATGCTAGGACTCGTGCAATATCATGTCACTTTTCAAATTACAAGTTATGAATTTATGCTGCACGGTTAAACACTTTTTGTAGCTTTTCAGCCTGACAGTACAAAGTGCTAGTTATACATGACATAATGAAGTCGTACAAGACAGAAATGAATTATTCATGAAATAGGTTATACTTATTCTGAAAAATTTTGCATGTATTATTTTTCATGTATTATTCTATATAACTGGAAAGAAAAACTGGGAACAAAGTGTGTGGGAGGTCTTCACAGACAAATAATCCCAAACACACAAAATATTCTAACTGTTACCATTTCTCAAACTGGTACAGTTCAATCTCACCCTGTCAAATTCAGGTCTAATAATCTGCTGCTGTTTGGGATGGGTATAATGAGAAAGTAGTTTCCTAGCATGTTCGAGATGGATATAATAGCAAAATAAACTCTTAACCTGATGCAAGAACTTGAAAAAAGGAATACAATACATGTTTTTGTCAGAGCTACTGTATTGTAGAATAAAGAGCACCACCTGAATCTAAACTTCACTCTTGAACCTTAAAAATCACATTTTCTTCCCACTTAAAATGATACCTTAATTAGGTGTGTCTTTAAATTATTATAGAAGTAAAAGAATATGAAACAAATTACTCCTAAATTACTTTGCTCGGTGAAATGGTATTTTTAAGGTGAGCAAACAATAAATTCATGTTTTTCACTATTGAAAGTAAGAGGCATTTTTCCAATAGAGGCGACTCTTGAGTGATTTCTGTGCGCACATTCTTGCTCTGTTCCTGAAGAATGTTCCATTTATAAAACAAAATATATAAAGAACTGTTTTATGAATTCAGTTATGACAATAGAGGAAAGAATGAGCAAAGGAGAATATCAAGAGTAGAAAAATTTCCTTGCAATGGGCAAGGCGCTACAAATACACCTCACGCTCTTGAAAGTATGGTGTTTGTTCTCTGTGATGAACAAAAATGCATAAAGCAACTCAGTCCTTCAGAGGTCTGGATCTTGTCTGCTTTGATATGAACACTGAGACGAGTGTTTGGAGTGCTGTTCCTGATAAGAAATAAAATGAAGGCATTTGAACAGTGCAGGGATAGTCACACTTGTAACGACTAAAGAGTTTCATACAGAGTAATTTCAAAAGCAAAATCATTACAAAGGGAACAAAACGTACTTTTAAAAGAGCTTTATCTGACACTGGCAACACTATTCTAATGTTAGTAACATATGCTAGTTACATAGTCTCTGTTTCGATTGTTTATGCAATCTACTATCTGTGCCAGAGTCCTAATAACTGCAAAGCTAAGCATCATGTTTGTGCCTTCTTATCCTTTTCCTTTCTCATAAATAGTCTCAATTTTTAGAAGTTTTGCTGTTTCTATGTTTACTTTTAACTTCCAAAGAGGAAGATCATAGATGTGTAGAAAGCAAGAGGGGTAAGGTTAACCTTAGTAAACCGAGGGAGATATGGAAAGAAAAAAAATGCAGATTTCTGAGGACCCAAAAAGACTAGGACACCACTCTAAGAAATAGTTTCAATGTGGGCTTCTTTCCAAGTTTTTTGAATCACTCTGTTATTTCATCCCACACAATCACATGCTAGTGGTCTGCAAGGCCACTAGCAAGAAAACTCCATGCAACAGGACAGGCAGGGCTAGAAAAGAGCTTTGTTGAAAAGGACTAGCGGGGAAGTTATCTTGATGGCCCATAAGTTTAATGTGAGTCAGCAATGTACCCTGTTGTGACAAAGGTTAACCACATACTGGGCTGCATTAGCAAAAGCTTAGCCAGCAGATCAAGAAAGTCAATTATTTCTCTTTATTCAGCACTATGGAGACTACATTTGAAATACAGTGATCAGGTCAGGGCTTCCCTAGATGAGATATGTTGTCAAAATAAACTCCAATAGGACATAAGGAAAAAATTATTTCCAAAGACGGGTTAAGAACTGAAACATCCTGTCCAAATGGATTGTGCCATCTCCACCATGGAAACATTCAAAACCCAACTAAGGAAGGCCCTGAGCCACTTCAACTACTGCTGAAGTGCTCTGTTCTTATCAGGATTTGGGACTAGGTAACCTTCCAATCTGAATTATGCTATGAACTATGAGGAAATCTATTTTCCTACTTATTCACAAAGCAATTACAATGCCATAATTCTGCAGTCATTTTTATGCAGCATAGACCAGCTAAATAAAGAGATTCATTATGGTTCCCTTGCTCAGCCATTCATTCCCATCCTTATATTAACTCCTCACTTGTGCCAACATAAAAGTTTGTGTTTGCAGGTGGTAAACTAGGCAGAAAACCTTGTTCCAAGTTAAAAATGGAATATTTATTTTGCTTGCTCCTCTGCCATCACCTCCCTTTGTCCAGCACAACTGTTTGTGTGGGCACAGCATCAGTAAAAGTAATCTGGGGAAGGCTGAAATGCCTCTTTTGTCAGCTTCAGGAGTTTAAAGTGATGGTTAAACTATAGCATAAATTTCTCTCGCTTATTCACAGCCAATGCCCTTCAGCTCTCTTGTAATAAACTGTTTCTGTGGGTATAATCTCTCCTTGTGGTTTCTGCTCAGTTAGCTCACCTCAGGCAATGAGCTGTGGCCTGTTACATCTGCTGTGTGATATTAACCACATCAGAAGTCAAATTTTCAAAAATGTCAAACAATTTTTCATCCCTCATTTTTTTGAATTCCTTATTTACAGGGCACTAAGGGCCTCATATGCCCTAGAAGGGCTCCAGCTTTATTAACTACAACATTATGACAAGATTCAAATCCACTGAAAATAATTTATGGTGAACCTTTTTTCATTTTAAGTGGAGGAACCTAAAAGAAATAGTCACTGAAAATATTGCTCTTAATCACTGTGCTGCATGTCTTTATAAGCATAATATCTTTGTAACTTTAAAGGACAGTGGAAGAGAAAAAAAAAATTAGTTTTGGGAAGTAACCAGATAATGGTGTTACAATGGCATAATGTTAAGCTGCTACAAGTGTTCACCAGCTCTAGCTGTTCCAGGCCTGCGAATTCCTTCTGTCTGGCCACTGGAGCCCAGCCCGGTGCCCAGGGATGTGGGGCCTCTATTCAGACTGATGGACATGGCTGATGCTTTTCCCTTTGTGGAAAAGGTAAGTATGTATCCCAGAAACACACAGACACACAGACACGTGGACACACACGTACACAGATGACACGAACACAGCTGTTCACACAAGCAGCCACAGATAAGGCATTGCCCCAACAGGCCCCACACTCAGGACTCACATCAGACACAGGCACACACAGACACATCCCCTTCTCCTCTTGGGCTGGCAGAGGTAGAAGGTCATTAGTGCAGCACACACACTGCACTGCTCAAGTTCACAGAATCACAGAATTGTTGGGGTTGGAAGCGATATCTGGAGATCATCTAATCCAACCCCCGTACTAAAGCAGGTTCACCTTACAGCAGGTTGCACAGGATTGTGTCCAGGCTGTTTTTGAATATCTCTGGGGAAGGAGACTCCACAACCTCTCTGGGCAGCATGTTCCAGTGCTCTGTCACCATCACAGTAAAGCAGTTTTTCCTCATATTCAGATGGAACTTCCTGTGTTTCAGTTTTGGCCTATTGCTCCTTGCCCTGTTGCTGGGAAACACCAAAAAGAGCTTGGCTCTGTCATCTTTATACCCTCCCTTAAGATATTTATATACATTGGTAAGATCCCCCTCAGTTATCTATTTGCCAGGCTAAATAGGCCCAGCTCTCTCAGCCTTTTCTCATAGAGAGGTGCTCAAGTCCCTATCATCTTCATAGCCCTCCACTGGACCCTCTCCAGTTTTTCTTGAACTGAAGGAGCCCAGAACTGGACACAGCATTCCAGATGCAGCCTCACTAGTGCTTAGCAGATGGGCAGGATCACCTCCCTCGACCTGCTGGCAATGCTTGTCCTAATGCACCCCAGGATACCATTGGCCTTCCTGGCCACAAGGACACACTGCTGGCTCATGGACAGTTTGTTGTCCACCAGGACTCCCAGGTCCGTCTCCACAGAGCTGCTTTCCAGCAGGTTGGCCCCCAGCCTGGGGTTATTCTTCCCGAAGTGCAGGACCCTGCATTTTTCTTTGTTGAGCTTCATTAGGTTCCTCTCTGCCCAACTCTCCAGCCTGTCCAGGTCTCACTGAATGGCAGCAAAATCTTTTGGTGTGTCAGCCACTCCTCCCAGTCCTGTATCATCTACAAACTTGCTGTCCCTTCATCCAGGTCTTTGATGAATAAGTTGAACAAGGCTGAACCCAATACTGAACCCCAAGGCACAATGCTAAGCTACATGCCTCCAACTAGACTCTGTGTCTCTGATCGCTACCCTCTGAGACCTACCAATCAGCCAGTTCTCAATCCTCCTCACTGTCCATTCATCTAACACACGCTTCCTTAGCTGTACACAAGCACACACACATTTATAGATCCCCTGAGCACTGGCACAGCCCCTCTGCTCACCCTGCACCCCTTCCTGGATCCTGGCCCCCTTACTCATCCCACAAGCTCCCGACTCACTGGCTGATCCTGCTGGATGCTTACTGCACACACACAGCACTCACACACTTGTCCCACCAGCACCCCACACTCGTGGGTTCCCTCAAATACCAGCATAGACCCTCTGCCCACCTGATATCCCTGGCTGGACCCAGCGTCTCCTACTCCCTGATGGGTTCAGCTTGGAGTTTGCCAGTGACTACATATGCGCAACACACATGGTTTGGGGCAGGTATGGCATTTAGAACTGGAGGTTTTGCTCATACACAGATTTAGTGTGTGGCTGCTGAGAAGTCATTTGAGCTACTTTAGTCCTCAGTTCCTTTTCTCCTTTTCTTCAGCAGGCAGTGAGCCTGCCCACTTCATAGTGCTGTTCTAAAGATCAGCACGCTCGAGTTTTGAGGTTGTCAGACATTTGAGTCATAAGGCCAGAAAAAAAAAAAAAAAGAAGATAGAGAATATCTTGATGAAGATACCGAATAAAAGCTCCCTTCAAAGCAAAAGGAAGGAATAGGGAAGATTAAAAAAGGCACCTCACCTGAGAGGTTCAAAGCACAAAAGAGAAGGACGGAATTCCTTTTACCCAGCCTCAGTCAGGTGCCCATATTAGCAGGTCATCTCAGCAGCAAAAGAGAATCAACATTTATGATGTTCAGAAAGCAATTTATGTTACAAGTCATTACTTATTAGAGGCACTTAATCAGCTACACTTAAGAGTAAGAAGCCTTCCCTAGTCCAAGCATTCGCTGGCTATCAGAGCTAGACTTGACGTGTATACCAACCCCTCATCTACCACTGAGCACCCACAGAAATGGAATGCGCATTTGGGGACAACAGACACAGTACATTTCAGTTGTTCCCTTATCTAGAAAGCTGGGAATGATATTAAAATGAACCACACTAGAAAGGTGTAAACACAGCCTTCCTGACTGTTTTTTACAGCCTCCACTTGCTTTTTCAGAGTCACCAAGGATCTGTATCTGAGTAAAAAGTGAACTGGAGCCTAAATCCCATTCCAGTAATGTATTCATAACCTTCACATACTGCAAAACTTCGAAGAACTTCAGTTCTTAGTCTAGATTGCCTTGGCCTGTGCACATAGCTAACCCTAAGTCAGGATCACTGAGAAAAACACACAGACCACCCACCTCTGAAGAATATGAGATACTCACACAGAACCACAGAATAAGAGAATCATAAATTAACAGAATGGCAATGGTTGGAAGGGACCACTGGAGGTCATCCAGTTCATACTTCCTGCTCAGGCAGGGTCCCTTAGAGCATGTTACTCAGGATTCTGTCCAGACAGCTTTTGAATATCTCCAGCGAGGCAAACTCCACAATGTCTCTGGGCAATCTGTTCCAGTGCATGGTCACCTGCACTGCAAAGAAGTTTTTCCTCCTATTCAGGTGGAACTTTTTGTATTCCAGTTTCTGCCTGTTGCCTCTTGTCCTCTCGCCTAGCCACTGAGAGGAGCCTGGCTCCATTCTCTTGACACTGTCCCTTCAGATACACGCCTGATGCACCTGCCTCTTAACCCTTCTCTATTTCCCTTCTCATATGACTGCTGTTGGCTGACTTTTCAGTTTGGTCTCTGTTTTTCAGTTTGTCAATTATCTAGGACTTTTCTGTCTCTCAAAAGAGATTTAAGAATTGCCTCATGAAAGGACAGGGCACCTTGGTGATTCGCCTCCCTGCTTAGCTAGTATCCCTCTCCAAGTAGAAAGACAATTGACAAATGAGATGTATAACACTACAGGACTCCCTACTGTGGCTGCTACATAACGACTACTACCTGTCATTAAAAGTCTCTCAGAAGCTTTTACTAAACTTGGAAAAAAAACTTTGCAGTGGTTGGTGCCCCAGAAGGTACAGTAAGTTTTATAAAGAATTTTTGCAGACTTTAGACACCTTGGTGTTCATGCAATACTCAGATATATTTCCGTATTGACTTATGATAATTTCTAGTAAATCTAGCCCTTTGTCAAGAAAAAAGATATATTTTTTTTCCTTTGAGGAATAAAATATATAGAAATTTCACATTCCCTTACCATGTAAGATAATTAGATATTATTTGTTTCATTATTAAGATTGTTAAGGTTGGATATGTCCTCCCAGTACGTATCTCTATTAAGATTATACATCTATGTCCAACATTAATCAGCTCCACACACTTTTAAAATGTGTCATTTCGCTAACATTGAAGGCCTTAAAGGAGACCATACCAATCCAAAGAAACACTTTATATTCTCAGCTACTTGATAATGTATAGATGTAAAGACAGATTTAAACTTTTTAAACCTAGTTTTTAGACTTTTTAAACTGTATTGCTTGTCTTCACTTCCCCTTTTATTGCTTTCAGCTAATTTTGTGTTGAAGACTATGAGCAAGCAGGTGGAATGAGAAGAAACAGAAGAGGACTCACAAAACATATGGACTACATTTTTCAATATTAGGCATAATCTAGTGTGTATTTATAAATTACACATATAGAAACTAACAGAATGTAAATGACTGTGTGCAACAGCAATACCTGACTTGTACTGCACAGGAGGCATTGGATTAATGAATCAACTGCATATTTCAAGTTTTGAGTGTCTAGTTTTGAAATTTTAGCCCATATATCCATTTACTCCAATAAGTAGCAGTAATAAGTAAATCACTTTTACTCTTATCTGTGTAAATGGTACTTATGCAAGGAAAATAGACAGACATTTGGACAAGAGGAAAATGGTTGGTCTAGCTCTTTTTGTCTCTATCTGGAGACGTATTCCATAATGCAAAAACAGAGGCTACAAAAAACTCTTAACATACTGGAGTATGAAGTGTTATCTGTTAGAAAAAAAAAGGAAACTCACAGACAGCTTGTTTATGACTTTAAGAGTGTAAACACACATCTATTTTATTTAATTCGGTAATCCTCTGACAAAACTTGTGATGTGTTTGATCATCAGACTTCTTGTTCAGCTTCCATCATAGAAGTATCTCTGCTTTCCTCAGGGGTATTGACAGCTGGCAGCAATCAAAGTCATCTAACTGCCAGTATCTCATTTAAAGGGAATGACATTCAGCTACAAAACACCAAAATTACTTTAAATCACTGCACAGTACTGTACTATGCATCTCAATGAAAAAATACAACCTCTCTTAGAAATGGAGACATTTAGACCCTTTTTTCTGGGAAGGGTTTTGTTCGCTAACCAGTACCTCGAAGGTGAGCAGTGCACGACATCACTTGTTCTTGAGCGAGACTCAGGCATAAGTCAGCCATGTCTATCATAATCCACTTTGAATATGTTGTCTTTGACTTAAACAATATGAAGCAATCTTCTTGAGAATTAGTGTAATCGGTTTATCTGTGGCCTTTCAAACAGAAGCAGCATATTTCAGTAAATCACACTTTCAAAACAAATCATTCCACCTATCTGGCTTTTGTTTGTGGCAAGCCAAGTACAAGTTGTCCTATAATGTGCTGGAGTAGAGTCCCATGTAATTTTTCTTCTTCCTTCTATCTTGTTTTCTAGGATTCTTAAAGAAGAAAAGTCAAACCAACAAGTTTTTTAATGACAGGGATAGAAGGCGAGAGAACTTTTCCTGAAAATTTCCAGTGATATAAGGCTCTCTCGGCACCTTGTCCTGACTGAAAAATGTTAGGACCTTAGTCTCTTAACTATACACTTAACAGTGTATATTAAATAGCCTAGAACTACAAAGTGGCTCTCCAGCAATTCCCAGCTTGTCCCAGTGTCAGGTTTCGATATAGCACAACTCTCTAGAAAAGTGAAAAGGACAAAATGAATGACCCATTACTCTAGGGAATTATATATATTGCTGTACTGATGGACTAACTGGGACTAGTGATGGGACTGGCACAATCTTTTTCTGTGATGTACATACACTGTCATCACTTGTAACTTCTGCAGAGTAGTGGGGTCAATTTTGGTTTTTACTTAGCATGTTGGTAATGTCCTGGTTACCAGAGCATGAACAGGTCTGTATTGAAATTTCAACCCATGTGTTTCTCTACCATATGCCTATCATCTTTTTAGTCCTTCAAGTCAGTAGTTTCAGAGCACTGTAGGCTCCTTAAGCCTATTTTGGCCCTCCTAAATTCAGTTCTCAGGCAAATAGCTACGTCATGCTTTTATGTATTAATTCGGAATCTTCAGCTGTGTACTTTAGTTTTCCATTTTCCATCAGGACTTTTCTCAGATGTCTCTTCTTTCCTGGCATTATACATTTGGTTTCTGCATCACTCACAGACTCTTAAATATTTTCATATTTTTTTTAAAAATGCATAACACATTTGAGTAGAAGGACCCATCCCGAGTCAGGCTTCACAGTATATTGACATGATGAAGTTACTTAAACATTTAGCTTGAGATAATTAAAAGCTATGAAGCTTAACAAGTGACATAAACAGATATAGTTGGAAGTAAAGGATGTTCTGATGGTCTTCCTCCTCATTCAGTGCTTAGATGGCAAATATAAATGTTCCTTAAATCTTTTATTTTTCTTTCAGAATCCAGGTTAAAGTTCTAGTGATCTTTTACATCTTAGTTACATCCTTTTTACATCTTTTACTACATCCTAGTTTTCAACTCAGATTATTTCCTCTACCATTTACTCATAATACTTGTGTTCAACAGCCATGGTAGGGAAAAGCACTTAGATGGGATCTTATTTATTCAGTGACAAGTTCCAAATGTTTCTGCATAACAGAACAGACACTATTGTAGTTCCTCCTTTGGCTCCCTAATTCAAACTGAGCTATCTATTACAACAGCTCCTAATTCTTCACATTTCTCTCTCTCTTTTAACATGACATATTTGCTATAGTCTGAAGCAACTGATTAAAAACAAAACAAAACCTCAAAACCAAAAAGAAGCAAACAAAAAACCCCAATCTGAATTTACAGGTCAGTTCGAAAACTTGAATACATCCTCTATGTCATATTCATTGAATAGCCTACTGGTCAGATTACCCAGCTGATAAACTGTAAATTATAAGTCTTTTTTGTGCACAATGAAAGAGATGAACAACAGCATGAAATACCTGAAGCTATGAGTTGTCCAGTACCAAAATGGACAAAAGTCCAATTATGAGGACTGCAATCAAGAGCTACAGAATTACCATTGACTCAGGTTGTTTCCATGGAATATTCTACAAAAGAATTTATCCAACAAAACCTTGAAGTAGGGGAGTGCTGGTATTGCTATCTACTCACTCCCAGAATAAATAACTCCATTGATCCAGAAAACTGACTACATTTCTTGTAGCTATAAAAATTAATCAAAATTTTACCTGTAGTCTTTTACATTTTTCTCTGCCACTTTTTCTTATATCTGTATGCTTTTCTAAACCTATTTTGCAACAAGTTAAGTTTTTGCACATAGGATTAGAAGGCAGGCATAGAACAGTTAAATAATAGTTACTCATTTTTTTCCAGTTCCATTTCTGATCCCCTCATGCATTTTTATGCCTTGGTATTGTAGAAACTCTGCCTTTGTACAGTTATCCTAAGCTGAGTATTGCATCAGTCAAAGCCTAGGTAAATCAAGAGTAGAGAGATTAAAAAATGTTACTGCAGCTGTTTATTATTTTTCCCTTGAGGTGACATCAGATATCAAACCCTTGCAGTTTTTAAAACTGAGCCAAGGTATATACTGCAGCAGATTGCCCATCTGGTGTGACTTCAGAATATTAAAATCTTCTGCAGGCTATCAGCACACAGACGAGTCAAAATCTTTGCAATCACCCAGACATCTTATTTCACACTACACAGAGTTGTGTGATCTCAAATTAAGATGTTCAAAATCACCATTATTAGTTTGTGATGAATGTTGATCATATCACCCAACCACAACAGTTATGCATTTCATCTGTAGCTGTCCAGCCAATACGCAGTTACTGAAAAAACGTTTTGTCTGTGATCCAAAATCTTACAGGAAATCAAGAACTGTCATTTACAGAGTGTGAAATCAAACAACTTTCTAGACTCTGTTGAACATTGTCACTGTAGATTAATGCCATACAACTCCTAAGTGATTGCAAAGCCATGATTTACATAGGCTGAATCTGAATGAATATAGCTTGTATAATCTCCCAGTTTAAAATAAATGGTTGTACAATGACAGACTTTGGTTTTAGATACACAGACCACTTTCCTCTATTTCCACCTAAAACATAAGTATTATGTTAATTATAATAATAAATATTGTAAATATATATTTATATAGTATATATAAAAATTATATCCACCTCCACCTCTCTTTCACAAGCCATACTAGAAGACATGGGGATAAAATACTCAGTTATGAGACTGTGCACATGTAAAGTTCAAAGCTAGAAAATACCACGAGTCTAAAGCTGTATTAAACAATGTAAATTATAAATATATGGATTATTTAGTAAATATGGTGAACACTGAGAAATTACAACAGGTGCTTAGTTATTTCTAGTCTTATTTGAAGAGTGGAAAGTTAAATATGGAAAGTAAGTATTATTTATTCTAATATATCTGTTCTGGTTAGTTTTCTCATGTAAATGCAGGCAGAAACTCAAAGAAAAAGTATAGAAATCAAATAGAGTTTACGTGTTCTGGTTTTTGCATGTAACAAAAGTATCAAGCTCTGTGTATTAATCAAGATGTTTATTACTATAAAAATGCCAGGGTTCTAGAGCTGTAAGTGTTTTGAATGAAAACAAGGCAATGCCCCCAAAGCTTGCTGTCTCTTTGTAGAAGACAGACAGGAGATACGGATAATATGAGGAGCCACACCTAGCTGTGAGAAAGCCTGTAACTAAAGTCTTCATTTCTATGGGCAGATTGGTGAAGGAACATTCTAAAGAAAGATTTAAAAAATAATAATGAAGTTGCTTGTGGATGTTTACACGTGACATCTTCAATAGAGTGAATGTCATCTGGGGAGAATGCACAAAGGTACCGGTTCAGAAATCTAACAAATTAATGATGGGACTGCTGTCTTGTACTGACTAGAGAGTTAATTTCTTTATATTGCAAAAATTTCCAAGGTTGAATGGGAAGTTCTGCAGGTGAGAAAAATCAATATATTATAACAGAAAAAAAGGAAAAAATAATATAAAAGAGAAGGATGGAATAGATTTTGACAAGAGAATATGTCAGGACACTTAGGTTAGTAGCAGCATCAATCCTTTTAACCACTATCCAAGTAAGTCTGTACAACAGGAGAGTACATTTGCAACTTAACACTTCCCACAGTTTGTGAAGTAGTTTAATATCCATACTGATAAAAGCCTGAAGCAAAAGGAGTAAGGGAATGAGTCATTAAACCTTTTAGGGGAAAAAAAATCTGTCTTCAGTTTTCAGACTATCAAAAACTATTTTCAGAGATGTGCAGATTACCTTGGAAGTATCATTATTCAAAATTTTATTCTATGAGGATCACAAGAGAATTTTATTGTTAATTCCAAGGAGTCCTTAACGTTGCTATTTAAATATATCTGCGTTTTCTGAATTAATATGAATATGTATAATAAAATCTATTGAAAGAGAGTGAATTTATTGACTGAAAATTGACTGAAATCCCCAGAAGAGTTTGAAAAAATGAGATTTACCTCACTTGCCTTCAGCACATAAAATGTACTCTTCTAGTCTAAGCCAGGTATTGAAGAGTCTTCTATAGTAAGTGAAGACATTGAAGGATCTCCACAGGTTCTTTCCATTTGTTTCGGGAAACTCCATTAAAGAGTATGGCCTAATAAACACTTGAAGAAAAGTACCAAGATCAGTGTTTACAGAGCCACAGTGCTGACTACTCTCTTATGTGGTTCCGAATCATGGGTCATCTACCGCCACTACCTGCGTCTCCTAGAATGCTTCCATCAACGCTGCCTCCGTACAATCCTAAACATCCACTGGTCAGATTATGTGACCAATACATCTGTTCTTGAACAAGCAGCAGTCACAAGTATTGAGGCCGTGTTGGTGAGAACACAGCTGCGTTGGGCAGGGCACGTCTCAAGGATGAAGGACCACCGCCTCCCTAAGATCTTGCTTTGTGGTGAACTTGCCACCGGCTACCGCAAGAGAGGAGCCCCAAAGAAAAGACACAAGGACTCCCTGAAACAACATCTCAGCCTTGGCCATATTGTTCATCATAACTGGTCTACTCTGGCCTCCAATCGGGAGGCCTGGAGACACACCATCTATAACGCAGCTGTCTCCTTTGAGAACACACGCAGGATCACTCTCGAGGAGAAAAGACAACACAGAAAGAACCGTGTCTTGCGGAATATACCACCTAAGGAGTCTACCTGCTGTGCCTTTTGCAAGTAGTTATGTCTATCTCGTATTGGCCTCATTAGCCACCAGTGTGCCTGTAATAAATGTGGATAGAGCCTTCCTTAATCTTCTTTTGCGAACCCTAGCCATGATGATGATATTTTAAGAGTGGGTGAACTGCATTTTGTAGTTGCTAGTTTTTCTTTACCAGACAAAAGTGAGAACTTCAGTTAAGTGCTAATTCATTAATCACAGAAAGAGCTTAGCTTAGTTCTTTATCTATTAGATTGCCCTTAGCTGGAGAATGTGAATCTCCCCTAGGTATAAATGCAACAAAACTCCCATATAGAACCATCATACTTGTACATACTTTCTCATTTCAGTTATATTGTCACTCATCCCCAGTATCCTTACTGACTTGTGACATGAAGGGCCACAGGAAAGTCATATCACTTAAATAGAACTTGGAGTGATCATTACAGGGACTGAGAGTGTTACAGTAAGTGGCACTGTTGTCGAGGGGCAGAGGGTAGGAGAGTCAAGCTCACGATATGCCAAAGCAATGCAGTTTATTTGGGATCAGTACCTTTCAATTCTCAGTTCTCAGCACCATTCCATATATAAGCCTGCCTGCTGCTTTTGCTGCAGAGCTCTTTGCCCTGTACACTGCTCTTGTTCCTGTGCAAGCTGTTCTTCTGAAAATACTCTGTCTTGGTGCTCTATTCTTAGTTTCAGTGAAGAATGCAAAAGAGTTGACCAGTGTACTGCTCTTAATCATGTACGCTTTGAACCACCTTTGGGACAACATTCTTCCTTTTTTCATGTTGTAGTTCTGATAAAGAAAGCTGTTTGAAAGTAAATATCATCCACCCAAATCCTGTATCTGGACTGTCACAGCTTGGCTGCCTTTATTAATCTTCCAGTATAGTCAGCATGGGGCAAGCCTGTGCACGTGTTCATATTCCGTCTCTTTTAATGGGACAAAAGTAAATATTCGTTGGTGCTTTTCTAACTGGAAAACCTGCATCTATCTGAAGTCCAGAGCTGAAGCTCAACATAATGGTAAATAACTTTATGAGCACTTAGTAGGGTAAAGTGATTGACGTTCTCATGAATTCCTTCTTGATTTTTAATCTTGTCTAAGGCTATCCTAACTTCTTTGAGGAGATCCTCAAAGAGGAAATCGGCACCAGCATGATTGTTCAATACAAAGGGAAGTGAACTCATGAATGAAAATGAATACAGTTTTGTAGACAGATAGGGATAAGGAATTACATTATTTTTCAGAAACTGATGGACACATACATAATCATGGACTTTTTTCTTTCAGATTAATGGTGGCTGTATTAGTAACAAGCAAAGCCCTTGAGCCTCATGAGGCTATTCATGGGATTCACAAACAGGATAGATTCCTGCATGTATCATATCACATCACAGAAAAGAAGATAGACCTTCACTCTGTCAGATATGAACCCTGCTGATCCCGATCTGCAGTGTGACTTCTGAGCTTCACCTATCTCATCTCTGTGAATATGCTAAATCATCCCTAGACTGTGTCTGACTCTCATTAACTTCACTGGAACTGATCCTGACCCTGATTTTTGGCATGACTTCCTGGCTTGATTTCCTCAGACCTGCTTCATCATCATAAAATTGCCTGATGGTCTGGATGTGGCTACCATCCCTGGGCTGGTCTTTCTTGCCTCGGTTGGGGTCAGTCCTGCTGGCCATGGTATCTCCCTCAGCACCACATACCTTAGGGAGAGCTGGTGCTCACCATGCCCTGACACTTAAATAGAGGCTGAGATTCTGCTCTCTCTAATTTTTTCATTTATAGGGTAACAAAAAACTACGTTGACTGGCCTGTGTTTTTCTTGGCAAATATACCTTTGTTTCATAAGTCTTCATTTTGGTTAGGTCGTTGTACAATGAACCAAAACCATCTTGAGACACTATTCCCAATTAAGGGGCACTACTGTAATAATAAAAACACCTGTAATAATTACAACTCCTGTAATAATTTCTCTCACCTGTCCCTTCCCCCCTCACCTTCCCCAAACACATAACTAAGAGCTAGTTGCATCTCCAGGTCCTACAGGATAACCTCTATATCACAATTCAACATAGTCATCTCCCTCATTTCTGCAGAAATACTTTGTAAAAGTAAGTGAAAGCATTCATTTTTCTTAACCAAAAGCTCTCATTTATTATAACATAGGTGAAGGAGAGTGGAAGCTTATGAAGCTTGTTCTGATTCACATCTGTCATAAAACTGCCCCTTAAGAAACTTCTTAAGAAAAAAACCTTAGCTTAGTAGCTATGCTGCACTGGAAGAGTACTCCTGATACAAAGTACACCCTCCAATTACACTCTTCATCTTCCTATGAAAAGAGATGAAGTTTCTATTTGACATAAGAAAGACAGTGCATTGCACTCTGTAGAAATGTATGACTACATGTGCTAAAATGTCATAAAAATCAGGTTGTTCACTGAAACACGCCAAGGAACAGAGGATCAAAAAGTAATATGCAGATTGAATAGCAACAGAGTGACTTCGGTTACCCACAAACTTGCTGATTATGTTTCACATACAATATATTTCAGGAATTTCCCCAAATTATATATATCGTTCTTTGAAATGCGAGGAAGCATTTTTCTTAATGTACATGTACAGTACTTACTGTAGGTGAATATTAAATTGCAATAACCATAAAATGATTATAGCCATTATTCTTGCAAGAGGAAAAACTAGAATGAGAAACTTAAAGATGGATTAGAATAAGAAAATCAGTCAGAGAGAAATAAAAGATATATAAACAAATTATAGTCAATTTTGAGACTTCCTCAATACATAACTAACTCATAAAAAGCATTATATATGCACATACATATATGTGTTTATCTCTC